TTTTACCATAATTTATTTATCCATTTAATAAAACGTTACTTAGTACATTTAGCTCTTTAATTAGCAATTGTAAACATTGTTAAAAAAACTGTGTAGAAATCGTGAGGCAGAGATGTCATATAGTAAGATAAACAAAACACGTAGTCAAAACAAGAGAAAAATTAGCGCCCTCTGGTGGCAGGGACAAGACAGAAACCATCAAGCATTCAGATAAGGGGTTGAATCAATCAATTCTTTGTGGCGCGTTTACGGTTCTCCTTAGCACAGACGGGCAAGCGATGGAAGGGGAAAAAATGAAAATTTTTCCAATTCCTCCAACAGGCCGATAAGAAAGGCCATGAGATGATGTGAAATCAATGCGCCGTAATTGTAGGGAGGCAAAGTGCCACGGATGTTGAAAAAAGAAAAAAAAAACATATATGTGCAGCAAAAAAGGATAGATAAAAACAAAAAGTAAAAGTAACAAAATTTAATAATTCCCAAAAACCATTATGCGACCCGTTCTGCCGTTGAGTTAAATCGGATGAAGCAGTAGTGATTTTTCAGTTGAGACAGTTTCATTGGTGTATTATATTATTTGTGATTTTATTTATTTCTAAAAAAATAACAGAAAAAAAAGGTAACGGTTATTAAATGCGACAGTTTTTATTCGTTCCAGTTTCGAATTAATTCATTTAGGTTTCAGTAATGGGAAATTTTATGTTTTCTTGCGATTTATTTATTTGTTTTTTTGGTTGGCATTTCTTTGTTAGAAACTTTATGAAATTCCCTAATGGTACATTTTTTGGATTCTAATACTGAAGAGCGAAATGAGTTAGAAGACTAAATATAATTTGTTTTGTTTATTTTGGCGGGAATACTATCGAAATGAGTGTTGAAAATCATTACGTGATGTTATTTTATTTTAATCTCTTCTCAGTTTAATGGAAGCTGAAATTATTTTCCAATAAGTTAAAATATCGATTTCTATTATAAAGTTCTTATTCTTTTTGAAAAGCGTGGTTGATCTGCAGTTAAATTTTAGGGAATGAGAAAAATATTGATTTTTTTACATGTTATATTAAAATTCTGTAATTCATTATCATTGAAAAATGTAGCAAAATTATTGTCTTCTATAACAACGAAATGTGGTTTTATTGAAACACCCAACTAATTATATTTTAAAGTTATTGGTTGAACTTAATGGACTTTTAAACTTAAGACTTTTATTCACATACTGTAAAAAATTCAGGATCAAATTACGGTACAAAGTTTCGGCGCTTTGTGAGATCATTCGCTAAACAAATTTTATCGTAATAACAATTTATTTTTACAGTAAAATAAATTTTTCCACGAAATATTAAACCGAATTTTTACAGTAATATTTATTTAATTAGAGTGATTCACTGATTTTACTGTAATTATTGCGGTATATCAGATTTTTTTGTTCCGTAACATGTTCGGGTAAAAATAGATTTTACAGTAAAAAGTTACCTACACTCCAAGTGACGGTATTTTTATCGTAGTAATATCGAATAGTACTTTTACCGTAAAAATACCTATAGTAAAGAAACAAACAAACAGAATAATAGCTGAATTAAGTATAAACGTGAAACTGAATTAGTTCTTATTGTCCCACATTTAGCAAAAATACAAAACTGAAAAATAAATTTAACCAAATAAATGGTTTTTATTCCATGCATTGATAAAATGACCAAATTTTACCGCATTTACCAGATTTTATCACATATTATAAAACTATATTTTATTGCTAATTTTACTAAAAGCTTTACCAAAGCGCTTCTTTAAAAATTATAGAGTTTTTCGATGTTCCCATGGAACCAGAAACATGGTAAATTTTACCATATTCTGGTAGTTTGGATCTTACTTTCTTTTTAGTGCATTAAGAAAACTTTCAAAATAAATAAAATTAAAATATTAATATACAATTCCGTAATTTCATATTATATTTTTAAAAAAAAATTATTTATCAGTAACGTGACTCTCGAGAGCTCATGATTAGGTATTGCCTGCAGAAGTGTCTGCTGCCTTTCCTCAGGAACTCCTTGCAGATGAACCGGAAGTTACGATAGTGATTTTTTCTCTTCTTCATCCAGCTCCGTTAGAGTGAAAGTGTTCGAAAGTAGGACAAGGGATCCTCAACTTCCGCCAAAGTTTCCGGAAAAGCATCCCATAGTTCACTTTCGATGGCCTAAATAAAAATATACCTGTAAATTTCGGCATTTTTTTTCTCTTCCATTTCCTTCATTCAAGATGGAAGATTTTATGCAACGCTGTTAAGGATATATTTTGAGGGATTTCATATGATGAATAGATTCTATTTTAAATATTTATTTAAAAAAAAACTTTTGTTTATATTAAATTTTAAAAATAGGTGTATTTTTAAGTATTTATGCATAGTTTGAATGATTTTCTGATCAATAATAGCTCTATTAATAAAAATTTATTTAATTATAAAACGTACAATTTTACCAATTATAATATGTATAATTTAATAATTATTTTTAAATATACCGTTTATAATATAATTCAACCAATTCTTGATAGTTTGATGGTAACTAATTCATGTGATTTTAATTTGATTTTAAGCTATTTTTTTAAGAACTTAAATAATTTTTATCGAAGTAAACTAAAGTTTTATAGCTTCTTTACTTATTAAAGTTAAAAGAAAAGTTTGTCCAATTTTTACAGTTTATTTTAGCTATTATATTCCTTGGTTCAAAATTTGAAGTATTTTTATTAATGAGGAAGTATGAAGTATGAAGTATGAAGAATGAATTACATATTATAAGAAATTTCCGGATCAAATTACAGTAAAATCTGTTTTTACGGGAACCAAAAATTTGATATACAGTAAGTTTTTCAGTAATAATTACCGTAAAATCATTGAATCCCTCTAATTAAAAAAATAAATATTGCTGCAAAAATTACGGTAAACATTTTAAAGTAAAAAATGGAATTTACGGTAAAATGGATTTTACGGATTATGCACCAGAAGTGACGCTACTTTATACCATAATTTGATCTGGGACAATTTACAGTGTATTTCCTAGAGCGTATGTACAAGTCGCTATTTCTCAATGACATTTTGTATAGTAATAAATACTATAAAATCACCTGAAAAAGTTCTAAAAAATCAAAATATCTGTATTTATAATGTCAAAAAATTCTTGAAATTCTGAGCTCCTATACAAAATGAATGCCATCAAAATCTACAATGCAGTTGAGAATTTCATGATATTCTACGTAAAATATATATCTATAATGTTATTTACTACAATGTTTGCTTCGTGAAAATAAAATAATTCTTGCAGAATTAAAAAAATTACATTTATGTCCCGGAAACTGCAATAAAATTATATATAAATTAATAATTATATAAAATATATTTAATGAATTATATTAATAATACAGTAAATTATACATAATTACACATAAATTAATGAAGAATAGGACTTGACTTTAAGACTTATATAACGAACCATCGACTTTTAATACTGGCAGTATTTCACCAAAGTTTAAATAAAAAATTGAAAGACTTGAGAACTCAGATAAACTATAATTTATCCTAGAGGGAAGTTTTGAACCAAAATTTGCCTCAATATTATTTCCAGAAAATGTACTTCCCAAATTTCGAAAACTTCTTAGATTAAAGCGACCTCAATCAATCAATATATTCAAAATCTGTGATTTTTTTCTTTATAAAAATGCTTTTCTGAGCAATTTGAAAATGGGACTTAGTATATCATAGTCTTATCATTCAGCCCGTGAAAATTATTTGCGTTTAAAAAGTTATTCCTGCGATAATATGATGTATTTTACAACGAAACTTAAACGAAACGAAAAGGGAACTCCAGGATCAAGTATTAGGAGAAATTCTGCATTCGCTTAGGACTTTTTAATGGAACTGACCTCATTTGCGTTACATGGAGAGGAAAACTCCAAAAAACTCCCATGGTTAATCTGACGATAAAGGAACTCCAACCTGTGATCCGTCAACCACTGAGGATATTTCATGTAAGCACTGTGGGCGGTGCGAGCCGGGTGCGGAATTCGTATTGACCAGTCATCGGTGGGATTCGAACTCATTGGGAGGCGAACACTCTATCTCATGAACCACTACGGCTCCTTTATATTGTTACAGTGAAGATAAAATAAATTTTAAATTTCAATATTTTAAACAATGGTGCTTATATTCATTATTTTTTGTGTATAATGTTCGGAACATTTAGTAACACAACTATTTATTGTGAATACCAGAAAAAAATATATTTTGTCTAATTGATGTGAATATTTCTATTCGTTTTTCCTTTTCCTTATTAAAGATATTTCATATACTTTTTTTCACATCTTTGAAGCAAATAGATATTGAAATAATTAATTATAAAGCCTATCATATTGCTACGAAAAATTTATAATTTTGAAATTGTATTCGAATTTGTATACTTTAAAAATATTTTTAGGAATTTAGTTAATTAAGCAATGATATGTCATGTGCTTGCGGTAATAAATGTGGAATTAATATTTGTTACTAGTACGTAAAAACAACTGAGAAAATCAATAGTAAACATCTTAAGTTGTAAAGAAGAATCTGTTAATAAATTTCGCTTCCCTTTGGAAGCTGTTTAATATTTTAACATAATAATTTTTTTCTTTTATTAATAAATTTTATCTTCTACTTTAAATTCAAAATTAAATACAATTTACGTGCTTATTAAATTTCTAAACAAAAATATGGTCGTCTTTGTACTGTCTGTGAAATTTTCTTATATTAAGGAAACTTTGAGAAATAATAGACAAAAGAAGGTTAAATATTCATTTTTTCTTCAATATTTTTTAAGAATTGAAGAAAAACAATTAATTTTATCCTCTTTTTTCAACTAAAACGTTGAAACGAAGCTAAATATAATTAACCTACTAATTAATTTTATTGTATTTATTTTTTTTGCGAAATTTGATCACTTCAAAGAAATTTTGATTATAGATATTCTTTTTTTTAGGAGTCAAGAGGCTCAAGGAAGTTAATTACAAAATGCAAGAAGCTGAAATTATGTGTCCAGGAACAATCCTACATTAAATTGCAAAAACATGACTTTCAACATAACGAGTAAGTACTTTTTAGCCTAACTCCCCCTAAAAAATGCATTTCTTTAATTATTAACAACAGTTTTTAATATTAAAATAGTTATTATCACAATAAATTATAAATGATATTACGTTTCATTAAAAATATCCAAGTCTTTATTGCTGGTTCTCTATTTATGTTTTATGTTGCTCAAACAAAAAAGTTAGAATTAAGTTTAAAAAGTTTAATTTGTTACTAGCAAGGCTTCTACCTGAAGTTGTTCTAAAAACTTAAAATTTTATTTTAAATTATACAATTAGCTCAAATAAGTGAGTAAATTTTAAAGGTAAGTTCTTTCATAAATAACCGTGATTAAAAATGCTATTTGAAGCTTGATATTTCTTGAAAACTAACCATTCAGTTTCATATTTTTCTCAGAAATAATTATGTAAAGTTTCGTGTTAAAATAATTAGCATTTCGAAGTACAGCCTGAATACTTACGAAGAAATTCTAACTGATTTCCAATTTATGAGACCATTCCTTGAATTCAATTTGACTTTAAAATACTCATAAATCAATTCTAACTAACTGCAAGTTTATATCATAATTTACTGAATTGAGCTTTAACATATAATTGATTTTTAAAAAGCACTTTCAAAATTCTCTCAAAAACATCTCAATTTACTTCAAACTTAAGCCATCAGACATTGAATTTTACTTAAACTTATCACACCATGAGTGTGCTTAAAGCAATTTTCACTTGTTTCTGAACGTTATCATCATATTTAATGAATTTAATTTCACTTTATCGTAAAATGAATATTCACAAAATAATCATATTACAAATTGTCAATACCATTTATATAATTTAGCTTTATTTTATCTCAAACTGAAAGTTTCTATAACATTTCTAATTTACACCGAATTTATACCATCATTGAATTTATATTACCTAATGCATCCTATATAATAAAAAACCACATCTAATTTGCATGGAATTTTCACCATCCATTCACCATTCATCACCATCTATTACTATTTATACAATTTAGCTTTATTTTATCACAACCTAAATGTTTCTATAACATTTCTAATTTACATCGAATTTCTACCATCATTGAATTTATATTACCTAATACATCCTATATAATAAAAAATTACTTCTAATTTGCATGGAATTTTCACTATCCATTTCCATCCATTCATCATCCATCACCATCTATTAATATTTATATAACTTAGCTTTATTTTATCTCAACCTAAATGTTTCAATAACATTTCTAATTTGCACCGAATTTATACCATCACAGAATTTAGCGTTATCGCATCCTATATAATAAAAACCAATTCTAACTTGCATGGAATTTTCACCATCCATTCACCATCCCTCACCATCCATTATCATTTTTTAAAAATAATTTTATTTTATAACCGTCGTTGAACAGCCGACCCAATTTTTGGGTTTACTGCTACTAATGTTCAACTCCGTAGCCTTACAATTTTGAACCCAATCCAAAACACAAGGGAACTTCTGGATCAAGTATTGGGAGAAATTTTGCCTTCGTGGAGGACTTTTTTGATGGATTAACTTGCATTTGCGTTACATGGAGATGAATACAACGAGAACCTCCCATGGTTAGCCTGACGGCAAAAGGACTCTAACCTATGATCCGTGTACCACTGAGGATATTTCACGTCAGCACTGTGGTCGGTGCAAGCTGGATGCGGATTCGCATCGACCAGCCATTGCAGGGATTCGCAGCCGGTTTACTTCATTGGAAGGCGGCTCATCTATTACCTTTTATATAATTCAGCTTTATTTTATCATAACCTGAATGTTTCTATCACATTTCTAATTTACAGCGAATATGTACCATCATTGAATTTAGCTTTACGATTTAATAATTAAAAACCACTTCTAACTTGCATGGAATTTTATCCATCATGCATTTAATTTATTTTCACTTAATCACAAACTGGTTACTCACAAAGCTACTACAACTTATTGCTAATTTATATTACCAATTTAGCTTTTCCCTTACGAAAGATAAAATACTCTTAAGAAAATTCTAATTTACACCAAATTTATACCGTCATACGTTGAATTTAGCTTTACCCCTATCTCATCCTGAATACTCAAAAACTAATTCTAACTCACATGGAATTTTTATCATCGTGTAATAATTTAACTTTATCGCGGACTGGTTACTCATAAATCTGTTCTAACTTACAGTAAATTAATATTACCATTAATTTAATTTAGCTTTATCTTATCAGAGATGGGATACTCCTAAGAACTTACACCAAATTTATACTATCATATATTGAAATCATCTTCTCCTTGTCAAATCTTGAATACTCAGAATGTAATTCTAATTCTCCAAATTTACGTCACCATTTAATAAATTTTGCTTTACCTTCTTTTAATCTAATGCATTGCTAATATTTTCACAATGAGACCTAATTTATTAATGCAATATATTTTTTTTTAAATTCAGAAATTAATCAGAAAGTTTTATTAGATTACACTTACGCTCTACGTTTATCAAAACTAAACGATTGGTAGGATATGCTCTTAATTAGTTAAAAATTAGTTAATTAGTTTATTTTCAAAATACTCTCTATATTAGTGTGACAAATATATATTAAACTAGCACTAGTGTCTCATGGCGTGCTTCCTGATTTTCTGCAGAAATCATTCTACCAATTCCTAAATAAAATGAGGAAAAAAATTAGAGGAAACTGGAAACTGTCTGAAAAGTTAAAATTTAAGCAAATTATTAATATCTAAAGTTTTAACCCTCCTCAGGGATGTTTAGTCTCTATTTTGAATTGACTGAAGGGAGTCAAAGAGTATGAAACTTAATCCTTGCTATTTTACTTAGATACTCATTATCTAAGTAAGTGATTATTGCGCACTTTTCACTCAGAAAATTAGACCGAAACTGAGTCAATGGGACAAATAGTTTAGAAGTCATAAGAGTTTTAAGTGCAAATAGGTCAAAATCAAAATTTTTTCTCTCTATACATAAGTTCCTTGTAACTTTAATGCTATTAGTTCTATTGCATTACATTTTATTCAGTATAAGAATAAATAAATAAAACTTCCTTGTCGAAAAGGCAATGTTTAAATTTAATTAATTTTTACTCTTTAATCCCCTCACAATTAGAAAATTCAAAATGGCGACTAAAGCTCACCTCAAAGAAAGGATTATGACATTCATATTAAAATTGAACGAATACTTTTAATGCAATTTCCAGCTTCAATTTTTAAAGGAAAAAAATGATTTTATTTATAAAGTGTGTGAGCATTAATAAGTCACTGGTGTACAAATATTAAGCTAATACACATACAGTAAGAAAACCATAAGCCTTGTTCCCAAAATGTTTGCTGTAAATTAATCTATTATTAAATTGTTAATAAATTTTTTTATTGTGTAATATAATTCCTACAAAATCAATATCAAAAACTAACGAGCTGAAATAGTTGATTTTAAAGCATAATTTTTTATCGAAGAATTTCCGAAATTATATTTTAATATTTAACCAATAACGAATTCCGTATAATCAAACAATAAGAACTTTTTAATCATAAACTAGATAACACTGCTGAAAAATTCATCAACATAAAATTAATCAAAAATGCTTTTAATATTTACTTTAAAGCGAAGAGTTTCTCAATATTATTCTATTCTTGTAAAATATTAAACACCGAAAATATATTCATTAAAAAGTAGCATATACGTAAGAAAACATCCCGCCTCTTATGTTAGAGAAAGTAATCACACAAAGGAAGTAATAAAAAGTAATATTATATGCAATTTTCAATCGTGATGAAGACGATTTTATTGATTTCAGCTAGAAATATTCAATTACAAAAACGACTCTGTGCCGTAGGTGCAATATCTGTAAAATTTCATTTCCCCGCCCCCTGCACATTCTTCTAATGTTTCAACTCCTTAGATTTGTATCGGAGAGAGGTGATTAAATTAAAGAGAGCGAAAAAAAGTGCCTTTTTCTGTGTGATACGTAGAGAAAATTAAAATGAAACTGAATTTATTGCTCGTGCGTTGGCGAGAGAAAAAAGAAGCCAAGAAGGCGGGCTCTATAGATATTGCCTGTTTCGTTTTCCTACATTTTTTTTTTTTTTTTTTGAATCTTGTAAATCAGTCGCTAGAGAATTTCAATCAGTTTAAAACGACTCGCAGTCTTTCCTTGAACGAAAAATAAGTATTTTAGTTCTCTTCCCTTTTTTTCTTGTTGCATCGCGAATGGCTATCAGTTGGCGATTTTCACTAGAAAGAATGGGTATCAAAGAGTTAGAGACTTTCTTTGCTTGAAAATACTTTTCTTGATGAGCATTTCCCAAAGCTTGCAACGATATTTATCATTCAAAATTTAATCTCACCGTCAATTTAAATTTAAAAACCTTTTAAATCAAATAAACGCAGAAAATTAGGATTTGAATTTATTGTGTCACTAGCTGAATACCCTTTCTTCGTATGGGATGAATAAAATAAAAAAAAGAAATGGAAAGAAACATAAATCGGTGCTGAGTAACACTGCGAAGTCATGCATAAAACAGAATGACATTTTCCGATAAAATTCATAAAGACAAAATATATTATTTTACGGAAGTATCTTTTTAATTAGTTCTGCTTTTTAGTACATAACTTGTATTTTTTATTTCATTTTGTACCTATTACCTAATCTCATTGTGCATCATCGGCTCAATAATAGTATTGCCATTTTTTTCATTTATCCTAAACGAATTAGAACCACTTTTTCCTTAATTTCACCATTCATTACATAACTATTTTTTTCATTTTAATTATCATTGATTTTAAAATATTTACTTTTATAGAAACATGTTTTAAGAGAATTTCTATAAACAAAATAAACATGCAGTATCAAATATCTTTAGAAATACGAATTTGGTGGCATAGTCCACTTATGCTTCCACGTTAACGTTGTTCATAGAAATCTGATATAGCGAATAAAAATAATTTATTATTTAAGTACGCTCAAATAAACTATATTT